GAACCTCCTGTAGAAGCCAGCATGCCCCAAAAGCTTCTTATACCCTTGACTGAACTCGGAGGCTGTAGATTCACCATGACCTCTATCTTTGCTTTATCCACTTCTATACCCTTCTCTGAGACCTTGTGATCCAACACGATGCCCTCTTGAACCATGAAGTGAAACTTTTCCCAATTCAAGACAAGCCTGTGCTCCTCACATCGCTTGAAAACCTGAGACAAGTTAGAAAGACAATCGGAGAAAAAGGAGCCATAGACGGAAAACTCGTCCATAAACACCTCCACTTTGTCTTCAATGAGATCAGAGAAGATGTGCATCATGCACCTTTGGAAGGTCGCAGGTGCATTACAAAGGCCAAAGGGCATGCATCTATATGCGTAAGTGCCATAAGGGCATGTAATTGTAGTTTTCTCTTGGTCTCGAGGATCTATGGGGATTTGAAAGAAACCTGAGTACCCATCAAGAAAACAAAAGTAATGATGGTTAGCTAGCCTTTCAAGCATTTGGTCTATGAATGGTAATGGAAAATGGTCTTTTCTAGATGCAGAATTCAGCTTTCTATAATCTATGCACATGCGATGACCGATTATGGTTCTTTGTACTATTAGCTCATCCTTTTCATTCTTTACCACCGTGATACCACCTTTCTTGGGCACCACGTGAACAGGAGATACCCATCGTGAGTCAGAAATCGGGTATATTATCCCTGCCTCAAGAAGCTTGAGTATCTCCTTCTTATCCACCTCCTTAAGGTTCGGGTTAAGACGTCTTTGATGCTCAATAGAAGACATGGTCTGGTTTTCTAGGTGTATCATGTGGGTGCATATGTCAGGAGAGATGCCTCTAATATCGGCCAAAGAATACCCTATTGCTCTCCTGAACTTTCTAAGCTCGCTAAGCAATGCATGCTCTTCATGATATAACAAGTTATCATTGATGATTACGGGATATGAAGAGTTTGAGCCTACGTACCTAAGCCCTGTTGGTAGAGGCTTGAGCTCAACAGGGGGTGCATCAGCCTCGGCCCAATCAGCATCGAAGCTGCATTGCCTCATAACAACTCCCTCAGCATTTTCTTTCTAGTGCGGTTTACCACTGTCCACGGCATAAGATGTCGCGGCCATGATACCCTGAGGTGTCTCCCCAACAGTCTTGGACTCTCTGATGTCCAAAGTACCGAGACCACTCTTCCTGAGTTCCAAAAACCTTGTCTCAGCTTCAAGCTCCCTCGGCTGATCCAAAAACCGCTTCTACATCTTGCTTTCTTCGTTCAAGAACCCGTGCTCGCTTTGTTCCCGTGTCAAGACCACTTGACACAGCTTATAATGGAAACTTTCTTGGAAAAGAGATCAATACGGCTTTGGAGTTAGTTGAGAATCTTGCTATGTCCAATGACACTTATGGTGAAGATTTCGACCGAGCTAATAGAACTGAGGGATTTAGTAAGGAGGTGAGGATGGAAAAGGATATAAGGGAGCTTCAAAACAAGCTTGACAACGTGCTTGTGGCAACACAAAAGCCTATACACTTTGTAGGCGAGTTAGATGTGAAAGGACCGAGTTTTGAAATGGTGAATGAGGATGGCCTCACACAAGGAGAAATCAACTACTTTGGGACCAAAACTGATGCGATCATGGAAAGAATAGAGGACTTGAAACTCGGAGTTAAAAGAAGATACACTAAAAGACAGAGAACCTGATATAGAAGAAACATTGGAGATGCCAGCCAGTCCAATGACTAAATCAAGGACCAAAAAACTTAAGGAAGCTATCGGAGCTATGCTTATAACTAATTGGAGACGAGCTAATATCTTGAGCCAGGAGGGAGAAGATGTTATACTAACCACATTGGTTTCTATACAGGCTCAAGATGATCAGTAAGTGGGCATGTGACCTGTTTGCACTCTTTTTCCCTCTCCTTTGGTTTTGTCCCAATGGGTTTTCCAAAGGGAGGTTTTTAATGAGACAAACGGTTCACATCCTATCCCCCATTTTCTGATCCAACAAAGGCCCAGCACCAAAAGACTGGGCCAAATGGAGAAGAAGAGTTTCCTTCTTGTTTCTTACTTATTCAAACTTAGTCTTTATTGCTTTAGTTGTTTTCGAGACAAGTCTAGGCTGCCAGAGGCTTGTTCTCCTTCTTTTTAAACCCTTTTACGCTCCTTTGTTAACTATCTATCTTTTCTATCAAAAACTCTTTCTAAGTTAGATCATTTTTTCTCTTGAACATCTTAGCCTGTGAGTGTGTTATATCTTTCAAGCAACCGATTCTTTGGTGTGTCATATCCATCGAATCACCCTGGTATATTAAAGGCCTTCCACATCCTTTGTGTGACCTATCTTTCCATCATCTTTACTTTGAATTTAATCCCAAGTCCTTACACATCGATGAGATCTAGTGCTTAGAGTGAAGATCTTGCGATCTAGTCCACTGATGCTTTGCTTTGAGATTTTCCAACTCACCGCTCCTGCATTAAGACAAAAGATGAATCCAGATTGCGATCGAAAATCATCTTTATCTGTCTGGAAGCTAGCATCAGTATAACCACTCACAACAAGCTCATCACTTCCTCTATAAATCCAGAATTTATGTTTAGTATTTCTTAAATACTTAAGAATGTTCTTGACTGCTGTCCAGTGACTTTCACCGGGGATCGGATTGGTATCTACTCGTCATGCTTAAAGTACATGCAACATCTGGACGAGTAGAAAGCATGGCATACATAATAGATCTTATAGCAGAAGCATATGGGATTCTACTCATGCCCTCTCGCTCATCATATGTCGAAGGACACTGAGTCTTCCTTAGAGTAATGCAATGAGACATCGGTAGAAAACCTTTCTTGGAATCATGCATACTAAACCTATGCAACATCTTATCTATATAAGTATCTTGACATAATCCAATAAGCTTGTTTAATCTATCTCTATAGATTCGTATTCCAAGAATATAAGTAGCTTCTCCCATGTCTTTCATTGAGAAACAACTACTTAGCCAAGTCTTGACAGATTGAAGCAAAGGAATGTCATTTCCAATGAGAAGTATGTCATCTACATACAAAACTTGAAATGCAACTGCGCTCCCACTAGTTTTCTTGTGAACGCACGGTTCTTCTTCGTTTCTAACAAAATAAAACTCTTTGATTGCCTCATTAAAACGAAGATTCCAACTCCGAGATGCTTGCTTGAATCCATAAATGGAACGTTGAAGCTTGCATACCTTCCTAACAGTCTCAGGAACTGTGAAACCTTCAGGTTGTGTCATGTACACATACTCTTCAAGATTTTTATTAAGGAAAGCTGTTTTCACATCCATTTGCCATATCTCATAATCATAATAAGCGGCAGTTGTTAGGAGAATCCAAATGGATTTAAGCATTGCGACTGGAGAATACGTTTCATCATAGTCTATACCATGAAAGCTGTTTTCACATCCATTTAGCAACCAATCTAGCTTTGTATATCAATAGATTACCATCCATATCTGTTTTCTTCTTGAAAACCCATTTACACTCAATGGCTTTAACACCATCAGGTAAATCCACCAAAGTCCATACTTTGTTTTTTGACATGGATCCCATTTCGGATCTTGCGGCTTGAAGCTATTTTTCGGAATCAGGGCCCATCATTTCTTCTTCGAAAGACGTAGGTTCATAACTCTCTATAATCAATAGATCATGATCATCTGTCACCCAAACCCCATATCTATTAGGTTCTTGACGAGTCCTCTCGGACTTACGTACCTCAGGTTCCACAGGTGTATACTCTACGACTCTTCGTAAATCTAATTGATGCTCTTCCTCAGAAGTTGCACCAACCTCCTGTGTTTCTCAAACTTCTTCGAGTTGTACTTTACTCCAACTATTTCTCTTAGAAAGAAATTCTCTCTCTAAAAAGACAGTTTCGAGCATCAAGCACTTTGTTTTCTGTAGGGTTGTAAAAGTAATAACCTTTGGTTTCTTTGGGATACCCAACGGAGTAGCATTTATCAGATTTGGGTCCAAGCTTGTCGGTAATCAAACGTTTGACATAAGCTTCACAACCCCAAATTTTCAAAAAAGACAGATTATGAACTTTTCCAGTCCATATCTCATATGGTGTCTTCTCTACTGATTTTGATGGACATCTATTTAGCGTAAACGTAGACGTCTCTAGTGCATATCCCCAAAAGGATAAAGGAAAATCTGTATGACTCATCATAGATCAAACCATATCCAATAAAGTTCGATTTCTTCTCTCAGACACACCATTCCATTGCGGCGTTCCTAGAGGAGTGAGCTGTAAAACGATTCCACATTTTCTCAGATGATCAGTAAAAGTTTGGCTTAAGTATTCGCCTCCTCGATCTGATCGAAGGGTTTTGATTCTTTTGCCAAGTTGGTTTTGTACTTCATTCTAAAATTCTTTGAACTTTTCAAAAGATTCAGACTTATGCTTCATTAGATAAACATAACCATATCTACTGAAATCATCACTAAATGTGATGAAGTACTGATAGTTTCCTCTGGCATTTATACTCATTGGTCCACATACATCGGTATGTATAAGGCCCAACAAATCGTTAGTCCTTTCGCTGTGTCTAGTAAAAGGAGCTTTAGTCATTTTTCCTAACAAACAAGATTCACATTTTTCATAAGATTTAAAATCAAATGATTTCAAAAGTCCATCACTATGAAGCTTTTGAATGCGTTTCTCATTTATGTGGCCCAAACGAAAATGCCAAAGAAAAGTTGGATTTGAGTCATTTGACTTAAATCTCTTGGTACTAATGTTATAGACACGCATACTTTGGTTCAAAACATAATCACCACGATCAAATGAACAACACTTGTCTTTAATCAAAAAATGAAATCTTTCCAAATCCAAACAAGAAATAGAAATGATATTCCTGCTTATAGCAGGTACATAGTAGCAGTTTTTAAGTTCTAAAACCATGCCTGAAGACAAAGACAAATGAAATGTTCCCACAGCTAATGCAACAACTCTTGCTCCATTTCCAACTCACAGGTACACTTGTCCTTTCTCCAGAGCTCTACTGTTGCTTAGGCCCTGCATATTAACACAAATATGAGCACCACAACCGGTATCCAATACCCAAGAGGTAGAACTAGAAGTAGCAACATTTACTTCTATAACATAAATACCTGGAGAAGAAGACTTTTGAGTCTTCTTCTTCTTTTTCAGATCTTCCAAGTATTTCTTGAAATTTCCCTTACAATGTCCAGAACCATTACAATAATGGCATTTATCTTCACCAGAAGGACCAGGCTTGATCTTAGGAGCAGGGTCTGACTTGCTTGGATTCTCAATCCGGCTTGTCTTACCCATTTCCTTTGTTCTTACCAAGTTTCTTAAACTTTTTACCCCCTTGTACCATAAGGACGTGAGGGGTGCCCTTCTTGATGTTTGATTCAGCAGATCTGAGCATTCCATGCAGCTCAGTCAGAGTCTTTGTCAAATTATGCATGTTGTAGTTCATAACAAACTGATCATAACTTGACGACAATGACTTAAGGATGAGGTCAATGGCCAAATCTTGGCTGATAGGACAGTCCAATTTTGCCAAGTTATCAATATAACCTTTCATCTTAATGACATGTGGGCTAACTGGACTGTCTGTTGGCAGCTTGCAGTCAATGAGAGCTTTAACCATTCCTTGCTCCTGAAACATTCCTTTCAGGCTGGTGATCATGTCAATTGGCGATTCCACGTTCTCATATTGCTTCTGCAAGTCTGAGTTCATGGTAGCCAACATGAGACAACACACATCGACCATATCACTGGCATGCTTCTCATAAGTAATCCTCTCTGCATGTGAAGCATTGGACTTAGGTTTTTCAGGAGGAAGACTCTTCTCCAAGACGTATTCCTTTTTCTCCTGTTTGAGAACAATTCTCAGATTTCGATTCCATTCGAGGAAGTTTGATCCATTCAGCTTGTCCTTCTCAAGGAAAGATCGCAGTGAAAATGAGCTGTGAGGGTTTGACATAGCTGGATCAAAAGAATAGGAAATGTTAATATGATGTTCAGGTATTTGAGAAATCTCAACAATTAAGAAAAGTCACATTATATTCAAAATAAAATTTTCTCAAAATGAATATAATGATCCAAGATCCATACTAGAATTCAAGTGAGCTTTGGCTCATCGCCCGAATGTCTAGTTATTTAGGTAAGCAACACTTTTGCTAATTATATCCTATATAACTCTTGGTTGTTAGACGACATCTTATGTCTTATCCAACCTTATGCCTCTAAGTCCAAAACCGTTTTGATAACTTAGTCAAGTAACCCAATCTTATTTCATATGATAACCATTACCATCTATCTCACTTATGTAGTTGTAGACACCCTGCTTGGCAAGCCAATCAAACAACGAAACAAGCCCGATAGTTGAAAGATTGGATAGGTATCAAAGATACTTGATATTGTTGAGGAGTTAATTTTAATTCAATTTTATTTATATTAAAATTCTATATCTAATATAAATAATTAAATATAAGTAATACATATCTTACTAGGTACCTGCCTGCGGCGCGGGGGCATAGTTACTATACAAATTTTGTTATAATTTGATTATATCAAATTCTTTATTTAACATATTTTGTAATTTTTTTTACCAGATTTAGAAAGTTTGTTCAATATATACGTGACATTCTCCATTTTCAATAGTTGGAACCAAAATATTATATATCCTTAAATTACAAAAATTTATTGAATTATTTATTATTCTAAATTGATTCATATAACCCATGTATTAACGTTATTTAACAATCGTCTACACTTATAAATAGATATATATATATATATATATAACGTAATATAAGAAGTACTATATTAAATGTCTATACTGTATAACTTTAGTGGATATATATAATGTAATATAAGAAGTACTATATTAAACGATAACCAAAGACAAATTATTTATGATTCTAAATTGATTCATATAGCCCACGTATTAACGTTATTTAACAATCATCTACAATTATAAATAGATATATATATATATATAAGAAGTACTATATTAAATGTCTCTACTGTATAACTTTAGTGGATATATATAACGTAATATAAGAAGTACTATACTAAACGATAACCAAATGCAAAGAAAAATATAATAAAAGAAATATCAAATAAAATAGAAAGATTCAACATAACATAAGATAGAAAGCCTTATCATGAGAAAAAAGAAATGTAGCTTATACAATTATATTAAGTCTTGTTGATTGGAATTTAAAGAGATAAAAATTAAAACTCCATCATAATCAAACGATCTTGTTCAGGGGTACTTTTTTGTGCTTGTTCCAACTTGCGTCTCCGTCATGTTAAACTTGTTTCGAATCCTGAAAGCTTAAGAGACACATATATATTTAAAGGATATTGTATATATAAAATATTCTCAATATCATTTTCGGATTACTTATTTTCTCTTGAAAATCAGGACATCATCAGTAGTAGGAGCAAAGAGGAGACAGGAAAAACCAATTGCATCATGAGCATGGATAGTTATTTCATCTATATACATAAAACGATCAGTAAGAACTATACATGCAAAATAAAACATTTATGAAATTAATGAAGATAATAATGGCATATGCTTCATGACCCATTTCTTCTTTTTTCTTTACGCTCCAATTGGTTAAAACACAAACTGCAAGAGGACCAATGAATCATTTGCTTCTTTCTTTGATGTCAGCAGCAAATTCCCCGTGTGAGATACATTTCAATTTCATCCCTTCGATTTAACAATAAAAGTTATAAACTTTATTACCAAGTCATAGTGATCATGAAAGAAAATATTGCTTACTCAAGATCTGTAATGGTGAAAGTTATTTTCTGAACAGTATCTCCATCAGGATTGTCTGCGACGCGCGAGCATAATACTCTAGAATTACATACAAAATTAAATTTAATTATTCATTTTTTAATTTCATTACTCTTTAGATTTGTAATTGATTCTTTTGAAATTAATTTTTTTTAAAAGTCTCTACAAACATTTGCTATAAATTGCTGATGCTAATTTTAATTGACATATCTTTATTATATATAACATTAAACGTAAAGTAAAAATTAAAAAAATAAACGGTATTAGATCCTTAATGAAAACAACATTAATAAGTTTTTTAAAAAAATACATGTAGTGAAATCTCTTTAGATTCTTTTATATAAAATTGCTATTTATACAAAAATACATAATTATAATTACATATTAAATTTATAGATAATTAATTTGTACAATTATTCATGTTAAAATTTCATTATTCTGTAGACTTTTCAATGATGATTTTAAAATTAAAATCTCCAAAAGAGTATATTCTCTAAAACCATTCGCTACAAATAGTTGATATATTATAATAGGAGTGATTTTTCAAATACAGATATTACATGTTCGTAACCCATAAGAATGTTAAACCTATATTATTTTTTGAGTTTGTAAATGATTGATTTGAAGATACGATTAGAGAATACGTCTTCAATCGTTAGAACCTTCTTTGGCAAATTTTCACACGCTTTGGATTTAAAATATTTGTTGTTTAGTCTTTTTATAGAAAAACGTTATTAGTTTATTATTCAAAACTACATTATAATCAATTGTCAAATTATTTCATGATTTAAAAAGGTTTAATTCTCTAATTGTTATAGTTGAATATGGAACTACAAAAACGATGAAACCAAATTATTATGTATTTAGTTTTGATTATGTATACACATTATACTATTCTCCTTAATTATTTGTAGTTTTAAATTATAGTAACCAAAAAAATTCTGTAAAGATATAAAAGTTTTACTTTCTGAGTTCTACTTCATAAACTTTTAGTTTTCTTCATCATCTTCTTTATTTTTTATTTTTTTCATCTTCTACTTCATCGTTTTCGGGTTCTACTTCTTCTTCTTCTTCTTCTTCCTTATCATCTTTGTCTTCTTTGAATTCTCCTTCTTTTGTTTTTGGATTTTTGTCATCTTAGTTTTTTTTTTCTTTTTTCGTTTTCTTACTTATCTAATCTACGTTTTCTTCCTTATACTTTGTCTTCATCTAATTATTCTTCTTAATCTTTCACTTCTTCTTCTTTCTCGTATTTTCTTTCTTCTTTTTCCTCTTCTTTGACTTCCTTTTCTCAATCTTCTTCTTCTCCAACTTATTATTCTTCTTTTTTTTCCCACATTAACACCTTGTCTTCTTCTTCATTTTTTTAATCTTTTTAAAAATTTTATACATCATCTTGACCTTATTATACTTTGTCTACATCATTTTCTGAGTTTATTCTTCTTCCACTTATGTTTCTTAATCTTTTGGTTTTCTTATTCTGCTTTAACTTTCTCTCTTTTTATCATTATCCTTTTTTTTATTTTGCACTATCCATCTTCTTCATAATCTATCGTGTTTGTCTTCTTTGTCTTCTTATTCTTTAAGTTTTCTTAATCTCTTTCGTCATCTTTACATTCTCATACTTAATATCTTTCTCCTTGTATTTTCCCGAGTTGTTCTTCATCAGCACCATCATCTTGCTCTTTTTCGTCTTTGAGTTAACTTCTTCTTCTTTATCACATGTCATCTTTGAATTCTTCTTCTTCAATATCTTTGTCTTCTTCTTCTTGTTTTTTTTTCCTCTTATTCGAACTTATCTCGTCTACATCTTTTCCTCCTCTTGAACTTCGTCTTCATCTGTTTCATCTTCTTTATCTTTTGGTTTTTCTTCTTCCTCGTAGTTTCCTTCTTTTTTTTCCAATGTCTTTGTATTGTTTTTCACCATCCTTGTATTCTCCAACTTCTTCTTCTTCATCATCTTTTATTTTTTTCAGTTTTTACTCCTTCTATTTTTCTTCACTAACTATGTTTTTTTTTTAATTATTAGGCTATATACTCACCGTTTTCTATTTTGTTTACATAATCTTCCTATTTTCTTGTTCTTTTATTTTTTTTCTTCTTCTTCTGGTTTTCTCTTCTTCTTCAACTTCCGCATCTTTTTATCCGTATCCTTCTTTTTTATTTTGTGTTATCCATATTCTTCCTAATATATTGTACTTGTTCTCTTTGCCTTCTTATTTTTCTAGTTCTCCTTAGCATCTTTTCTCATAGTTTTTCATTTTTATCTTGCGGTCTCCTGTCTAATTTTTAAGGTATTACCTCTCATTTTCATTTTTATCTTCATTTTCTTTGATTTCTACTACTTCTTCTTTATCCTCTTTGTCTTTTTAAATTATTGTTTTTCTGTTTTTCTGTCAGCTTTTATTTTATTTTCTTCTTATTCTTCTTCTGATTTTTCACCTTTTTATTATTACTTATCTTGTCTACATTTTCCTCTTCTTCTACTTTATCTTCATCCGTTTCTTCTTCTTTATCTTTTGGCTTTTATCTCTCTCTCTCTCTCTCGTATTTTCCTTCTTTTTTAATTGTTTTTGACTTATATTTCACCATCCTCGTATTCACATACTACTTCTCTTTTCTCTTCTTTTCTTTCCAATTTATTCTCCTCTTTTTTTCTTTAAATTCTGTGTTGTAGTTGAATTATGATTTTTTTTTTCACTTTATTCTAATTTGTCTACATCATTTTCTGATATTCTTCTCGTTCTACCTTTCTTCTTCATCTTCTGGTGTTCTTCTTCAATTTATCATTTTTTATCCTTGTCTTTTTTGTTATTTTGTGTTATTTATATTTTTCTAGTTCATCGTAATTGTCTTCTTTCTCTTTTTATTCTTCTGGTTCTTATTAGTCTCCTTCCTCATCCTCACATTCTCATACGTTCTCATATTTATCTTCTGGTCTCTTTTCTCCTATTCAACGTCGTTTTCTTCTTTTGTTTTCCAAAAAATTCTTCATCACCTTCGTCTTCATCCTACTCCTCTTCTTTATCATTTAATTTTTTTCATCTTCCTCTTCATCGTATTCGACTTCTACTTCTTATTTTTTATCCTATTCGTCTTCTCTAACCATTTTTCCTTTTGCAGATTTCTTTCTTTCTCTAATTAATTCTCACACATTTCATCAACAT